CACCTGCTGGAAACCGGGTCCAGCGTCCCATAGATACAACCTTATCCTCACAAATTGGCACGAGCTGGGAACCGGGCCCAGCGTCCCATACCAAGTACCTTCAGGAACCTCACCAAGAACTTTCATGGAAATAAGACCAGCAAAAACCCTCGAAAATTCTACTACTGATGATACTAATGATACCAGTGATGATAACAAAGGAATCTAGCTACTCGTGCTGAATCCTAATCCTGAGCAGCTCCAAGCCTTCCTTTACCAGGATATTGCAACTCTGGACCAAGACAAACCTATCCCCCCGCTGCCTTAGCTGATCTCTTCTCACTACCCAGGCTAACCCCGCCCCATGAGTTGTCAAGGTAGCCCCCCCTAGTTCACCACATCGGCAATCCGAGAGCACAGAACAAAGCAACTTCAGCAGTCATCAGTCTAGGTTCGACAATCCCTGAATTCCTGTATCCTAAATAAAGAAGAAGACCAGGTGCTGCCTAGATTGTAAGGCCACGGATGGCATCCAATTTATTAGATCGTGAAGAAGATACGATTCCATTGGTGACAGCTCAAACCAATCCACACCCACTGTACCCTATCTCATGCTGCCTCCAAAATCCCTCGGTCCCAACATAGAACAGATCCCCTCCCCCTCCCTCCACCTCATCCGCGAAGGCAACCAATCCCCTCCTAGAGGCTGCCTTTGCCCACCCCTTGTCCCTGAATGGCCCCGCTGGGGTTGAAGGCGACCAACTCTCCAACCCCGGCCCCAGACTCAGACAATCCCCGATCTGCCCTACTCCCAATAGGGCTATTGCCTCCCACCATGCAACACCCTTGTAGAATAAGGCTCCCCTGTAACAGACCCCAGGGTTTCTTTTTCGGGGACAGCTAACTAGTTCTATACCCACAACTGGCCAGCCCTATCTCTCCTTCCCCTAGCTTCCCCAAGGCCAGGCGGAACCCAGGCTGACAGTCCTACCTCCCTTCCCCTGGCTTGTCCCCTAACTTAGGCCAGGCGGTTCTCAGACCTGCTGTGGGTAACTACCGTATATCTGTACCCTGGGGTCTCAAAACCCCCCCCCTGCCTACCAAAGTTCCAGCCATAACCCCCGAAATCCTATCCCCCCTAAAACGTCTGCAAAATTCAATGTTCGAAATCCCCACTCAGGAACAAGAAAATCGTGAAAAAACAGAATAAAGAAATGCGCCTCACCCCACTCGGGGGGACAGGCAGAGCAAAACCTACTAGTGAAATTACTGAGCAATCCCAACCTGAACATATTTGTCTGATGTTACTACTGCAAATAGTAGTAATCAAGAGGTATGTAATCAAGAAGCAGGTAATCGAGATATAGGTGATCAAGATATGGGTGATCTAGATATAGGTAATCAAGATATAGCTCATCAGGATGTAATTATTAATGGCTATTGGATAATTGGGTAACCAAAAATGGTACCCTGAGACCGAAAAGTTTTCAGATGATATTAGTATTGATGATGGTAGTGATGATGATGGAAGTATTATCGAGAAGTAAGTAATCGAGATCTTATAGGTGATCTATATATGAGTAACCAAGATGTAGCTAATCGGGATGTCCGTGAAGCCAAAAACGGCACCCTGAGACTAAACGATTTTCAGATGATTAATGATGATGATGATGATGATGGTGATGGTGATGATACTGATTTCGAAGATGATGATGATGATGATGATGACGACAACGACGCCCAGCGCCCTGCGATCACCAAAGGATGATGGTGATGATAACTCACCTCCTGTTGATGACGTTGGTGCTGCTGCTGGTGATGATGATGACGAGCAGCACCCTACAGATGATAATCCCGACAACCCTTGATGATGATGCGCCCAGCGCTCTGGTGATGATGATGATGACGATGATGATGATGGTGATGATACTGATTTTGATGATGATGATGATGATGATGATGATGATGATGATGATGGTGGTGATGATGATGATGATGATGGTGATGACGACGACGACGCACAGCGCCCTGCGATCACGAAAGGATGATGGTGATGATAATCCACCTCCTGTTGATGAGGTTGGTGCTGCTGCTGGTAATGATGATGATGAGTAGCATCCTACTGATGATGATCCCGACAAACCTTGATGATGATGCGACGGGATGATAATGATGATGGCGGTGACGAACTGCTCCCTGACAGTGATGATAACGATGATGATGATGATGATGATGATGATGATGACGGATGATAGTGACGACGAATCAACCCCTTGACGCTGTTGATAACGAAACTCAGCTTGATGACGAACAGCGCCCCTTGCCCTGATGATGATGACGAACAGCGCCCCTTGCCCTGATGATGATGACGAACAACGCCCCTTGCCCTGATGATGATGACACCCATCACCCTGACGACCACGCACACGATGACGTTAGTGCTGCTGCTGGCGATGATACCGACCAACCGTGATGCTGATGATGACGAGCATCAGCTCAATGACGAACAGCGCCCAGCGCCCTGATGAAGGTGATGATGAGCCGCACCCTGCTGATGATGCTGATGATGCTGATGCTGATGCTGATGAGGATGAGGATGATGATGATACGGCGACGTAATGATTACGAAAAAATGATGATGGCGATAAACGAAGACACCGGTGATGACGGGCAGTCACTTCACTCGCACTTCGGGTTGCCCAAGGCTCTCTCCGCTGCACTCCACAGGCGTCACCAGAGGCGACACCTCACAGGCTCTATGCCACGGGCAGAAACGCGGCAGCAATGGAGTATGGACGCGGAACTCCCAGGAAGCCCCCGGGAGTCAGTCTAGTTCTCCCTATCAACTCGTGATACGGTGTAGACCAGCACCTTTGCTCCCCGCGCATGCGCAAAACGCTTAATAGGTAGCCGCTGTAAGCTCGACACCCTGTCCCGTAACTCCCCTTAACCCCACCAGCATCTCCATCACGCCATCGCCCCGCCTTAGTTCGTTCGTATGGATACTTCAAAGCGAGAGCGATGCAAGCCGGGCACCCTCCCACTTCGCCGCCTCACTCCGCCGCCGCGGTTGATGCCCGGGCGCAGCGCTCCCGGTAGCGCTGCGCCCCCATAACTGCTTCTGAACCTGGGCTGTGGTGTACTGGTGCTTTAACCCGAAAACAAGGTGTGTACCTTGTATTCAAGTTACCTCCGAATGTCTTTGTTAAACCCAAAGACTGCAACTGGTTAAGTATACATTATTCCGCGAGTGATGAGTTAACCCGGCCGGCGTACCCATATGCCGGAAAGATCCGTGTGACTGTCTGACGAAAAAAAAAAAAAAAAAAAA